AAGGAGCAAATTGAGGGGTTTTGTTTTGTTTTTTTTTTGTTTTGGATAAAAAACCGAATGAGGGAATGGCCAAGAAAGTTGAGGTGCAGGGGAAAAAAACAGAGTCGAAGGCCTACCTATACTTTCTTCTACATTCTGCGCTTTCTTTTAAAAGATTCTGCTAGCATTTGTGAACAAAATGAAACAAGGATAGTTAGCATAAAGTACGAGTAAGTCGTCAGCTCAATAATTTCGCGGACTTTTTTAAAATAAACAAATCCAAAATCCTTCATATTAATGTTTAACATTGCACATTAAAACTTCATGAAATAATCGAATCTTCCAATAAGAGGCGACGTGACTCCACTAGCTGCAGCCCAATTCTGTGTGGTGAGTGGTAAGTTAAGATTATTGATCTTCTTTATCACTTTTTGAAATTTTATTTATTTATTCTTAGTTCTTATCAGTATCAATACACTTCATGTAGACACCAATTGGACAAGTCGAGCGGCAAATCACTCCGTGAAAATCTCGTACACTTTTCATTGTTTTATCTAAAAATCCTTGGAATCCTTTTGTTTTGGTGGAAATCATAGCTCCTTGGGATTCAGAAATTGCAAGCGGATAAAAAATCCCCACCCTCCCAACAACCACCGAAATTAGTTTTGCTATGAGAAAATTTTTCGCAACGACCGACATTATTGAGAAGAGATAATCTACTTCTATCAGCCTGACGATTCAGATGATTCGCTCTGACGATTTGCACATAAACCATCGAACAGTTTACATTTAATAATTTTCAATATAAGCACATTCCTGTCCCATTTTGATCTAAATCGTTTAGAATGACATTGACCAAGCTGATTTTTAAAGTTCAAATGTGTAAGAATTTTATATTATTAATAAAATCACTTAGAAACAGGCAGAAATTCAACTTTTCTGCAAACAGTCAACGCTGAATAATTTTTGTCATATTCGAGTTGGAACTTTCATTTAAAGTTATTTAAAAATTTATATATATGGGTAACTGTTCTTTGTCGTCTTTTATTAGAAGTTTTTCATTTTCATAGAATTGCACTTTATCAACATTCCACTTAACATCATGCTTTTTATCGAAAACATTCGGTAGTTTTGTGAAAAACTTCTTCAAATAAGAAAATAAATAATTCATAAATAAAACGATTCATCGATGAAATTAATTATAACTCACTAAGATGAATAAAAGTTTGATGAAATCTTATGCAGGAAATGAGTGGCAAACTTCTTTCAAGCATATCCACCGTATCTATATAAAGCGATTCGCGTTTCCATTGCCGTTTCTTTAAGATTTCCATTGCTTCCTAAATTTTCTGAGTCACAAAACTGTGTTTTGTACTTTGAACTCTCTAATAAGAAATTCTGAAGTAAGCTCCGACAAAGGTTGAAAAGTGGGTGGGCCAAGGGAAAATTTAACACCCATGACAAAAGATTTTTCCTCGATATCTTGGAAAATGCTCGGACAAGATTTTGCGCTCGGTTACACAGACGACTATTTGGAGTCTGGGGCTCAGGCTACCACTGTGTAGACAGAAGGAGTTCGCTTTCTCTCTTGGGCTCCAGTGGTAATATTTCTTTAGGCTCGTGGCACTGATTGGTCAACTAAACCGGTCTTGTGCTTGCGTTTTTCTGATTGGCCTATTTCGATCCACAACTGGGTATATATTTTTCATCGTGTTCTTTCGGACCCTGATTCTGACGTTTTATTGAGGAGTGTCAGACGAAAATGTTTTTAGTATGTCGTAAAATGTTTGCTTTTTTCAAAGCCATTTTCAAGTTCTGTACCGCACAAAAATTGTGATTCGATCGTGATATTCACATTTATAAGAATATAGCTAAAATAATGATTTTAAACTTTTTCTCTAGATTTAATTATTGTAAGAACTTTTTAAACTATATTGTTGTAACATTTATATCGTAGGTACATTAGTTTCACAGGTCCTTGGTTGATAGCAGCAAACTCATTTTTGCTGAACAAGTTTACCTGTATAAATATGGTCTTATTTTTATTGTTATTAATTCGATCATAATTGGTTTGAAGAAAAGAAGAAGCTTTACGCTTGTGGACGACGACTGTGGACGAGCACAAAATTTTCTGGTAAAACATTTGTTCCCGTCCTTTTTAGGCTTGAAATTTACCGCCAATTTGAAAATGAAAAGGAAATTGGAAAGGAGGCTTATGTAATGAATTTCGACATAAATTATACTATATTTACTACCTCAAACTGAGCCATGTTATTTTACATCAACCGGAAAAACAGGGCTGGTATATTGGCTTTTTTTAAGCCAAATTCTTAAAATTTGGCTTTTTTTCAACTTGTTTGGCTTCCGAAATTTTTTTTGGCTTAGACCTATTATTTGGCTTAATTTTGGCTTTTTTCTCAAAAATGTTGATATTTCTATTGTTTCGATAGTTTTATTGTTTCGCTATTTGCCGACATCCCATTGCGATATTGTCTTACAAGTCAACCTGTTAATGCAATTATTTTGCACCTGACACTTACAGTCTTTCAACACTTGATACAACAACTGGGATTTTTCCACTTAATCAAATTGTCACCCGGTTGCTCCCACGAGTATTTTCTTGGTGTTCATACTGTGGAAGCAGTGTTCTCTTTGAAATAGAGACAAGTGGTCATTGTTTTAACTAAAAAAACACGTGTCAGTTACATAATTTAAAATTACAGTTATCATTATTAGAGATTCGATTCGATCGGCAGATATTCAGAATAACGTGTTCAACCAGCTCCTTAATAATGCCTAAGTGGAAAAATTCGTACGAAAGTGGAAGGCGGTATCTAAAGTCGTGGGAAGAAAATACGTATGGGTGAAGCAATCCATGGATGGAAAACAAAATGCATTTTGTACAATATGTCACCAGTCCATTACACCGAAAGCGTCAAACCTTGCCAATCATGAGAAGTCAGACAAGCATATAAAAAATATAAATGCCGCTAACTCTACAAAATCTTTGCCTTTTGCAAATCTTCCAAAGAAAACCAAAGAGCCAAGCGAAGATGTAAAAAGGTTTGAAATAGAGTTGTCAGTTGGGATATCCTGTCACACTGCTATCAACTCTATCGATCATTTAGGACAGATAATGAAGAGGAATGGAGAAGGTAGCATTGTTGGAAACATTAGACTCCACCGAAGAAAATGCACGAAAATATTGACTAACGTTGTTGCTCCTGCACTTAAGGAAGAACTGAAAGAAAGCTTAATAAACCAAAAGTTTTCTGTAGTTGTCGACGAATCAACCGACGTTGCTGCTAATAAGCATATGGCCATTCTTTTACGCTACTTCGACGATGCTTCAAGTGAAATTTGCACTGCATTTGCCGGCCTTGTTCCTGTTATAAGTACAAGGGGTGAAAGTTTATTTGAGGCGTTGAAGGATTGCCTTGCTGGTCTTGGTTTGGATTTGGCCAATTGTATTGGTTATGGATCAGATGGTGCCTCCAATATGATTGGTGAGCGCAACTCTCTGTGGTCCCGGATTTTGCAAGAGGCACCCAATTGCATTCAGGTAAAATGCATCTGCCATTCATTGAGCCTCTGTATTCAGCATGCTTTTGAAAAATTACCGTCTAGCCTTGGATTCATTTTAAAAGAAGTGCCCAAATGGTTTTCGAAAAGCACCATAAGGAGGGAGGGATTCAAAGAACTCTTCAATACTATAAATCCAGACAATGAGCGTGCCGGAATCCCATTGCCGTTTGCCAAATTTTGTGCGACCCGTTGGTTGGTACGAGGAAAGCTTCTCTACAACCTTTTAGTGAACTGGGAAGAACTGAAGGCGTACTTCATTGTTGCTGAATCTCAATGCGATCAAAATGCACGATTCAAGGCCAGAATGATTCAAGAGATGTTAGCAGATCCTGCGAACTATTTGTATATTCAATTTGTTACACCAGTTGTATCTGAATTCGAGAAGGTCAATTCATTCTTTCAAGCAACCAACGCAGATCCTGAAAAGATAGAACAAGAGCTTGACATGCACTACCGAAGTTTAAAACTCAGAGTTCTTGACAACGTGGGTAATTGCCTGCCCATTGAACAAATAGATTTCGGTGCCAAATTTTTGATGGAGGCTAACACGTTTGTCTCCAAAAGCAGTCATACAGTAAAGGCAAAGGATGTTGTTATGGCAGTCAAGGAAAGATGCTTACAGTTTCTGAAGGCAGCTCTTCATGAAGTGGAAAGCAGACTTCCTTCTACTAAAAATGCTTTCAGGGGGATAAGCCACCTACATCCAGGGAAAGTTCTGAGCCAAACTGATCGACTCCCTTTCAACAACCTGCCGTTTCCTCATTTACGAGCAGTGAAATCAGATGTCCTAGAAGAACAATACAGGAAGGTTCTTCTCATCAACTGGGTTGATGAAAATGTGTTTAAAGGAGAGATTCCCGATTCAACTGTTGCGTTCTGGCTTGGTGTGTTGCAGTACCAGAATTTTTTAGGAAGCAAGCCATTCAAAGAGCTCGCAGAGTATGCACTGTCGTGTTTATCGCTACCAGTCAGCAATGCCATTGTGGAGAGAGTATTCTCGTATGTTACAGCCATCAAGACAAAACAGCGCAACAGGATGTCGTCGAAAGTCTTGGATACAATTGTCAGGATCCGCACACACTTGCATTTTACCGGAAGGTGTTGCAAAGATTTTAAGGCAACAGATAAAATGCTTGAGCTTTTTAATTCAAAAGACATGTATGATGAGAGCAATATTGACTTAAAAGACCTTGAGGAAGATGAAATAGTTTACCCTTTTGTATGATAATTATGTTTTTTACTACACTGCAAATCGTTATGAAATAATGTTTGTTCCTTTTCTATGTCTTGATCAGTATCCTCTCGATGTTTACTTCTAGCCTCGTTCACAACATGAAATTTTCTATTGTTTTGCTGCCTCGTTTACAATTTGGCTTAATTTGGCTTTTTTCCAACATTGATTTGGCTTTAAGCCCCAAAAGAATCTACCAACCCTGCGGAAAAAGCTGGCCTGTTTGCTGGCGGTTGGCAGAATACGTTGGCTCCATGTCTTATAAGTTATATAGAACGCAAATAAGCTCATCTTTTGACATAGACTTGTTGACGAGAAATTCTTAAAAACAAATATTGCTGCTGTCAAGCCCACCCGTTTTGAAGTAAATGGTAAGCCCCCTCTAAATCTTTTTATAGTTCTTCGTCTTCGACAAATTGTCTACTCTGCTCATATACTATGTAGAAGATTGGACGTCACAATTTTTTGTACACAATAAGTGTGAAAAAGTGTTATTACATTAGCAGAACATCGGGAATTTTAACAGCATCAAACGTAAAAGCTCCCCAGATGTGCGTTACTTTAGGACTGCTTAACGTTGTATGTTTTTAGGCTTATTTAGGGGGCGTCGACCAGGCAGGGAATGCAGTAACGTAAAGGGGGTTGTCCAAAATCCAGTTTTTCAAAATCTTTAGAAGAAACATATGGAAAATTTAATAAATCATTTTGAAGAAGAAATTTAATTTTTTGTTCTTAAATAAGTCTAAAATTATCCAAAAATAAGAGCATCCAGTGTTGAAAAAAATTGTATTATTCTTATAAAAAAGAATGTAGTGCATGAAATATATAAAACTAGACAGAGTCAAATAATAGCAACCAATGGTTGAATCAGGCATTTCTAAATGCAACAAAATACCAACTGTCTATACAAAACTGCAACTAAACGTACCGTAAGAAATCATTCAAAAATTTCCATCAATCTATGTCAAACTTTGTGTAAATTTTCATGCATATAAAGCTTGCAATGCCTCTAAATCTGTCAGTTGTTTCTTTCTCATTTTCTGATTTAGTCATCAATGGCTGACCTTTGGTGAAGCAACAATTCTTCACAGCATTTTTTGCGTTATATGATTCTTGGCTGTATCCAAGTACAAACAATGAGGGAGGCTAAACCTCTCACTTTTTTTGAAAATTTTAACAAAGAGCGCTGCACCCCCCTGAGCCCCCCACCACTATATCCCTGGTCTCCTGGTGCACAGCATGTCCTAATTATACATCTTGAGATTAGAAACCCAATTACGTTGTCAGGACAATACTAATAGTTTTATCAAAAGCCCATGACTGTATCCGGTATGCTCATCTTACAGCAAAACTTTGTGCATATGGCTTTGATGAAAATGCTTCTGTTTTCACTTACTCCTATTTCAAATTGCGCACATTCACATGCAATTTGAATGAATAATGCCTACAGCTATTTTCAATCTGTTTTATCAGAAGAAACCTCCTCTCATGCCAGACTGGAAACTTCGTCACACGCCTGCAATATATTGCTGGCACACACCAATTTTCCATCCATGCATATTTTCATATTGGCTGCACAAAGTCCCTATTTGATTACATTTTAAATTTTATTAACAATACAAATATCTTGAAAGTGCATGATTTCAGGCCTGCAGTCGCACATGAACTTGCCCACACAACAAAACAAAGTTTCCACTCTGGCTCTTATAGATCAAGCTTGTTCAGAACTTTTTTGGCTTGATCAGAATGATGTGATTGCTAACACACAACAATTGAACTGATGGTTTTTTGTTGCTTCCATTAATAGGCTTTAAGTAGTTTTTTCCAACTTAGACTTTGTAACAAGGTTCTCTGCCTCATTTGATATCAAATCTTTGGACATTTCAATGGCATTGGCCAAATATCATCCTTTCTTGCCCATGCAGCTTGCAAGATAGTTGAGTCTGCTTGAATCACAGGCGAAAGCAACTTTCCTTTGTTTTCGAGTTGCTTTGGGACAAAATATGTAAGAGTTTTGGTAATATATCAGAACAAACTTTTTTCTACCTGTTTCAGATTGTAAACTTTGCTAAGATGGGTTGTTGCCTAAAGAAATTGCTTAGTAAATAAAAACTGCTGTTATAGATTTTAAAGCAGCAAATAAGAACACAACAATGTGCTGAGAACAAACGACAATGAAAAACACACATAAATTAACTATAGGTAATATTTCGCCCTGGCATATGGAGTATCTTCAGAGTAAATTTTAAAGACCCATTTTCATAATGAGAATAGTGCCAGGAAATTCCAAGTATGTTGTTTCCCCATTGTTCTTTCAACTGTACTTAGAATCATCCTTCTAGTAAACCATAGAAAAGAATAACCTTTTGGTTCTTGTTTAGAATGTCATTTCCAGAAAAATAAGGAATGGGTTTGGTCACAACAAATTAGATCAGTTTAAAAAATTCTGGACCAAAAAATTCTGGCCAATAACATATTTTTGTATTTTGTATTACAGGTTGTTTAATGCAATTATTTGAAGTATCATGAGTTTCAGAGAGAGATTAGCAAGTTTTAGAGAAAATGCCTCTACACGAGTGCTTGTGATATATACTGGTGGGACTATTGGTATGAAGAAAGATCCTGACGAAGGTACCATTTGCCTATAAATCAATGCTCTCCAATTTGTAATGTTTGTTGTGATTTTTTGCTAGGGAAATTTATTTTTTTAGAATGATGAGCTTTTAAAAACAACTGTAGCTATTGACATATGCAAATTGTGCCAACAAATCATAACAAATTATGTCATAGAAAACAAGAATTAAGTCAAAAATCCAGACCATCATTTATTCCACCTCCTGGAAGAACATCTTCTGGAAAGTCATTGTCCTGGGATGAAGTTATTCAATCAATATTCATATTTATATTGCTGGCCAGAACAGCATGTCAAAAAACTAATTGTTGTCGAAGTGATTTCACCTTACCTAACAAATACAAAAGTGTAGTTTGTTTTGTTTGCAATTTCTCAACTAGGAAACTGTATTCTGGGTAAATATGTTCATTTTTAGGGTACATTGTCCAGCCAAACTATTTTGCCTCATCTCTAAAAGAGTTGCCAATGTTTTATGATAAAGAGTTTGCTGCTCATTCTTCGCAAAGAACCTATTCAGATGAAGCAAGTGTTTATAATGAATTTCCAGAACTTGTCATGCCGTGAGTAACTCAGATATTTTCATGTCATGAATATTTGTCTGAATTGATGCAAAAGACTAGGTCTATGCTGCCATTGAACTTATGCTTCATCCAGCTTTATAAACTTTCAATACTTAACTTAACCAATACTTTATCTATTTTACAAGTTCAAGCAAACTTTTGGTGATGTGAATCCATAGATTGCCAGCAATGTGGAAATTGAATGATCAGTGTGTCTTTTTGTCTGAGGTTGCTTCTAGAGTCAAAGAAGATCATGTTGTTATGATATATGTTTCCACTCTCTTGGTCTGTCTTTGGCTACCACATAGTGTTTTAGGGGTGACCATGTATGTTTAGAATGATGTGTTGTATGGTAATATGTTTCTTTTCATCTTTATGTGTTATTCCATAGTAAGTACTAATGGTATTTTCACATTAAGCTCAAGTTTTTCACATTATCCTGGTGTTGATCTTCCTGTACAAGATGGCTAAGCTCATTAAGGTTGTCTCTTTTGGTTTTTTAAATATAAAATTGGACTTTTAATTACGTTTTTCTTTTTTATAGCTTGTCAGATCAAGGAAAGCGGATTTTTTATTACATCAAGGAGCAAGAAACAATAATCGATTCTGCCAATATGTCTATGCATGATTGGCTAGTAATAGCAAAAGATATTGCTAAATATTACAAATACTTTGATGCCTTTATTGTTTTGCATGGAACTGATACCCTGGCCTACACAGCATCTGCTCTGGCTTTCATGCTGGAAAATCTTGGGAAGACCGTGATCTTGACAGGTGCTCAGGTAACAAACTTCTCTAGGATTCTACATAGCTTATATTTTATGTTATTAATTTTTGAATCAGTGTTAGCATGTTCTGGCATTGCATTATTGGTTGTAAGGACAACCTTCCTTGATTTTTCTCCTAACTGTAAAGAGCCATTGCATTTAAGTAATCTTAACTGCATGTTCTATTCCTACCATCTGATGAAACTGAAGCCTCCATTTTCTGTGATTGTTTTAGTAGATTCTTTAATTAATTATGAAAAATATGGTTTTGAGCGCATTATCACCCCTCCTTTCACATTATTGCTCTGTTGCTTGCCATTTTGATGTAAGGCTAAGAATCAATTATTTATTTTAGCTAAAGATGCAATTTGTATGTTTCTTTTGTAAATGAGTGCAAATCAGTAAAATTTTTAATAATGGCTTTTTACTTTCCAACACACTTTACCACAAAAAAAGTTGTCATGTGTCTTTGAAACTATAGAGTAGTATAAACTTCGTAATAGGGATGAGCTGATACATCAAATGGACCCCCTTTCTAACCTTCATTGTATTGTTTGATGTATTGTTCCTTTTTTTCGAGAGATCCCGATATTCGAGCAACGTAATGATGCCAGAAGTAATTTCATTGGTTCCCTTGTGATAGCCGGACACTACATTATACCAGAGGTTGGTAAGCTCGTCTTTGGAGCCTTAAATCCAAGATCTTTTATTTTCGATGTCATCTAAGTAAGATGAACAGCTCCAAATAAAAGCTGAAATGCAGGATGCCCTTACAAGTGGCAGGTATTAACCAATCAAATCAGAGAAAAGTTGTAACTGTTGATATTCATTAGGGTTTGGTTAGCTTTCTTGCTGGCTGTTTAAATTGTTTATGTGCATAACTTTATCATGTCTGTGTTTGAAAAATCATTTATGTCTAACTGTACCAAAGCCAAAATGACCTAACCTTTTACTTAAAAAAATGGAGGAAACTTTCAATTAGCTAAAACGCATGCTATTCCAGTCATTGTTTTGACGATTAAGAGCAGGGGTAGGCAGTTGATTTTTGGGAAGGAGTCACATGAGAAGCCTGAACGGTGTTGGAGGGCCGAACCAACGATAACTTTATTCTGCACAATATTCATCCTCTCTCAATGTAAAAAGCCACAAATTATACTATATTTTAGCTGGTAGTGGTTGCATGAAGGATGAATATATTTGGTAAATATATATTTAACGATAGTGTTTTTTCTGAATATTTCCATATATATATATATATATATATATATATATATAGATCTATATATATGAATATATTAAATTGTGGTGTAGGTCAAATGGGAAAATAGTCCTACAAAAGTCTATATTCTGATTAACCAAAGACTCACGCGGGCCGGACAGAAACATCTAAGGGAGCGGGACAGGGATATCTAAAGGGCTGGAAGTACCCCGGGGTCATGCGATGCTCAGGTCTGGTTTAGAGAATATCAAAAGTATGATAAAGAAGGTGAAAGTGCATTCATAAGGTTATCACAAAAAAGAAGCAATAGACAATGCTTATTTGGTCAAGCTTTTCTTCTGGACTATGGTTTTTGTAAATATGGACTTGTAGAGATATATTTAGAATAATAACGGTTGAAGGAGATACCGAAAAAGGAGTTAAATTCAGCACCCGGAGTCTGACTTTTCATTTCAATATTTCTACAGTAATTATGACGTAGACTTTCTTATTGGCAGGTTGCGATTTACTTCTCAAATAAGCTCCACCGTGGTTGTCGGAGTGTAAAGGCCAGTACATCAGACCTGGATGCATTTTCCACGCCAAATCTGCCGCCTCTCCTGTCCGTTGGTGTCAATATTGAAGGTATCATTCTAGAGCTCGATGAACCATCTTTTCCTGTTAGCTCAATTATTATCATTTCGTTTTTCAAATATTTTATTGATGCTCCATTACGATAGGAATCATGGAAGAAAGATAAATGTTCGATTCATTTTTTAGACACGAAAATCTTGACAGGAAATTTTTTAATGATCCGCTGAATGTCGATATTTTGTTTGTTCACCATAAAAACACTTCATTCTAGTATCCCTCTTTGTTTCTAACCGTTGTTTACCAGAGCATTGTTGCTATTGTCTCATATATGTTTCTTTTTCAGTGAGGTGGGACAACATTTTTCGATACAAAAATACTGGTGCTTTTGCAGTATGCAAGAATATGGACGAGAATGTTGGCGTACTTCGATTATTTCCGAGTATAAGAGCTGAAATTGTAGGTTTTTATTGTGATTTGTGATTTAAGTGACAGGCTACGCTTGGGTGTGAACACATTTTCAACAATGGGGCTCTACGCTGACCCCAAGTATACTGGCATTCAATAACTGTCATAAGAATCATACGTTTATAAGGTAGCTCTGCGAGCACTGTCTCCTCTTTTTTGTACGAAACAGGGTAAAGTAAAAAGATTACTAGATAAGAGGGTAATTAATTTATTGGAGGAAAATGATAGAAATATGGAGGAAAGCATGAATTGCGTTGGCAAAGAATTCAAAGCAAAGATTTAGCGAATATTCATAACATAATTGAGAATAGGCTAATTGAATCATACCTGATAAGTTACAATGTTCTGCTTTGATCACAACCCGTCTAGCTTTTCCTTGTATTTTCAAGTTTACCTGTCTATAAAAATAATTTGATATTAAACCCTGCTGATTTCGCATGGCTTGCTGAATAACTTTGGAAATTGAAACATTTTAGGTAAGAAGCTTTCTGCAACCGCCCATGAAAGGAGTCGTTTTGGAGACATTTGGTGCCGGCAATGCGCCTTCGAATAGACCTGATTTGGTGGCAGAATTCAAAAGAGCATGCGAGAAGGGTGTCATTCTTCTTAACATCACTCAATGCTTGAAAGGATCAGTCAGCGATGCCTATGCTGCTGGAAGGGTAGGGGAAATGCCTGTTTTTTTGCACCCAATGTAATGTATCTTCCAAAGCCGTGTTATGAATTTTGAAGCATTAGATACTTAAGAATGGAAGATCTGGATCCCCATTGCAGCTTTGATTAAGTTGCTTCAGAGCAGTGTGTTGCGCCGTTCATTCAGCGTTATTTAGTCATATACTTTAGTCTTAGTTATTGGAGAGACGTTCGTGCTTCTCTAATGTCGAGGACCCTCTCAATTCAACATGAAATAGCTAATGAACAAGGGACGTTATTTATGCTCACCTCGAGAACTGAAAGATTTGTAACCAGTTCCGTCTATTCATTTATATGTACGTTTGACGAGTACCCATAATCATGTGAACCAACAGCAGTAGAATCTTTATTCCTGTGCTCGGTTCATTGCATTTAAAAAATTTCTCTTGTGATGTACCGATTTAATCCTGACTAGAGTTAAAGAAAGATTTTGTACAATTCATGGTCCCGTCCCGTAAAATGAGATGTTATTTCGTTTCAGGCCTTCTCCGAGCTTGGCGTACTTCCAGGTTATGACATGACCACAGAAGCTGCTCTTGCCAAGATCTCCTATGTTCTTGGAAAAGACGATCTAACACTTGATCAGAAAAAGGAGGTAGGGTAACACGCATCATTTTCTCCTTGGTAATGGCAAAGTTAAAAAAGTAGAATGGGCACGCTATATATTTAGACAACAGTTGTCTCATTATCTTTTACCTTTCCACTCAATCCATGGCTCTCTGTAAACTTTTTGTGTACCAATTATGATTTTTTGTATGCCTTTAATAACCTGGTAGGCCCAAACAAAAAATAATGGCTGAGACAACACCTCGAGGAGATGGATTTTGTGCAAATGTTACCTTGTAGCAGTATTTGATTTCTTGATGTTATTCAGGGGCGACTGGGAGTAGTAAAGTATTGGCGTTGGCCTCTGAAATTGAGAGAAAAAAGGCCCCTACTCAAGGTCGTAAAACTATTTGACAAGGGTGGAGCTTTTATCTTCTGATTAGGGAGGGTGGAAAAGAGACCTTTTCGATGTGATGGTTTGGAATAGCTGTTGGGAATAGCATATCGAAAAGTGGCAGCGTACAAAGAAGCAAAATAATTTCTTGGGATTTTAGTGAATCCAAATGTCCCCTCTTTTGAAAATAAAATGGTATTAGACTAATACCTTTAATACCACCCCTTTAATTTCCATTGTATTTCCACTGCACTTGAAATTATTCGTTAGCAGCAGTAAGCGAATCATTTGATCGTGATATAAGTAAAAGCCCTGGATGGTTTGTTTTTATTACTGGTAGAATGCTATATAGTAGCTCTACAAGCATCTCAGTTGATAGTTCTTTGGTTTCAAGTCAGCATATTCACACATTTTCAAAATGACAACCAGTGAAAATCGGCCTATATTTGTAATTGCAGCTGCTAATGACTAATCTACGCGGAGAAATGACGATTGACCATGAACAGCAATTCCGTTTGAAGGAGGGAAAGTTCGTTCGAACCGTCGCAAAAACACTCAAAGTTGGATCTGAAAAAGTGAGTTTCGGTTTATGATTAGATTCTATGAATTTAAATAAAAACTTTAAAGTGAACTACTACCTCAAGTTCTTACAATGTCTGTCAATATATGTAAAAATGTAATGAGTGAAACGTTGAAGGAGATCAGGATTTGCGAAATTATGCTAGGAAAAGCAAGATTATAAACACCAGAGCAAGACTTTAATCCAAGCTTTTGAGTTCTGGGCCCTACTAAGTAAAAACAAAACAGGAGATGTTTTATATTAAGATTTTAAGTACTCAAATTTAAGAACCGTGTTGGTTTATATCCATATGCATATCTAGCAGTCGCCTTTTCCCTTAGATGCTTTTATGTCCATCACTAGCCGCACTTCCACCTGAGCCTGTATTAAGCAAAATGTCATTCTTTCTAATCATCGTGTCTTATTAGGAAATGGAGAATCTGAGGCGCTCCCTTCTTCCAATGTTTCTGTGTTGCGCAGCAAAATCGGGCGACACAATTGCGCTTGACGAACTGCTATCACAGGGTGCCGATGTGAACAAACCTTCAGACTATGATGGGAAAAGCTGTTTGCATATCGCCTGCGCAGAGGGCAACCTGGAAATGGTGAAGCATTTGTTAAAGATTGGAGCGTCAGTGTACGTTAGGGACAGACGGGGGAGAGTACCTCTCTTTGATGCTATAAGGTTCGCTTCATCTTTTGAGTCGATTTCAATAAGAGTCTCTGTTTTTTCTTTAGTCTTTCAAAAGTATTTATTATAGTTTTCCAACACGGATAGTATTGCTGCTTTTCAATGTTCAGGCAGTGCTGCTGAACATTTTTTATAATCGTTCCATTTTATCTGCATGTGTACATTACGCGAACGTAACATTTTACTTCATTATTATCCTGTATTCGCTGTCAAACCCAGCTCCTTTGCTCTATAATATGTTCACAACTGCTGACCCAACTAAGCTGCAATTATCTGAATTAAGTTAACTTAACTGATTCTGAGCAAAATTAACTTCCCTGATTGATGTTCTTATTGGTAATTGTTTTGTTGATACTTTCAAATCGATGCTTTACTATCGATGATATTTGCTATTCTAGGAATAAGAATGAGAATGTGATAGACATAATGATCAAGGAGGGGGCACACTTTCTTCCCGATGACTTTGAAGTACTACGTGAGCTGTGCATTGCTGCAAGTAACAATGATATTCAAAGCCTGGGACTGTGGAAAAAAGCCAAGGTGGACTTGAATATGAGTGACGTAGACGGAAGAACGCCGCTTCACTTTGTAAGTCGAACGTAGGCCCTCATCCTGTCCAATGTTCATTTGACTATTTGTGAGTCATTCGTAAAGTCATTTCATCGGCACTGCTCCCTAGTCATTTTGAGAAAGTGAATTGCAGAATGTAAGAAAACGAATAATATATAACTTGCTACGAGAAGAACCTTCATAGATATGTATTTTAAGCTAATGGTTGTGAAATCCCATCTTGAGATCTTACGAGCACTTTTCAAGTTTTCAATTACCAGCAAAACACTCTTTTACGTTTACAAGAAAATTCAAGCTCAGAATCATCCATTCTTTAAAGAATATTATGAGAATTGTGCTCAGCATGAGCTCGCATATTTGTGTCCATTTTTTCACATGTTTAACTGCTTTAAGAAAATATTTAGACTCAAACAAAGATTACATAGTTGACTAGACAAAATTTGTAATATTCTTATATAAGAATAAGTGTGGCCCATGCTGCAGGACTTGGTAATTTCCTGTTTCAAACAAATTGACTCTTTCTTTCTGAAAGTATTGTTGCTTTGGTTCATAAGCATTCCTCATAGATGTTATTCAGTTTTAGCGAGACCTCTTGAATAAAGTAGCAGTATTTTTGCTTTTTAGGCTGTTATTCGTGGACACCTCGACGCTGTCCGTTATTTGGTAAAAATAGCAGGTGTTAATGCAGAGAGACAAGATATATTTGGAAACACACCTTTGTCGAATGCCAGAAAGCTTCGTCTTCAGGATATGATTGACGTAATAGTCGAAGCACAGGGAGTCGCTGCGCGGGATTTTCTTGAAATGCGTCCAGTAGATGGGCAAATCGAAACAGTGGAAATGCAGCCATGAAAGGTTTGTCAAATATGATTATTTTGCGATTCAAGTTGATTCTCGCCAGTATTTTTTAGGTCTTCTTACAAGGCAGCTATAGACTTTTAGAACTTACTAGAAAGTATTTTTCAGATTTTTGACATCTCCCTTGCATCAGTTCTTTCTTGCAACTAATCGCCTTCAAGCCAAAAATTAAATAGCAGTTAAAGGTTTGGATTTTTGTAGCCATTTTTATATTAAAAGCAAAGCGAACAAGCTTGGTAATAATCTATTAAGAGAACTGAAATAATCTGAAACAGCTCATAAGATATCAAAAATTTCTGGCGGAGTTGTTTTTCATTGAATCGTTGAATCAAAATAAAAGAACTGGCGCTATCTATCGAAGTTTTACTGATTTCCTTTGACCAGTAAAATGTTAATAGCTTTACTAGTAGCAACGACTAGATGATATACTGAGTAAATGGGTATACTACAGACCAACGGGGCGAGGGAGTGGTGATCGTCCTTCTACATAATTGGTACAAAAGGGGCAAGGTGTGCCCTCTGTCATCAGAATTGAAGATATGAAAACCAAGAAGGATGGCATCAATAAAAACAGCTGCCTGTTTTCTTCTAAATGGAATATTCACCCTATATTTTTGTTTTTAGATTTTAATTATGATTGACACTATCACCCTTCCTCCAATTTTACTTTCTGCTAAACCACCCCCGACCAATCTCCGTAATTTTCTTCATCAATCAATTCAAATCCATTATAGGGTAAAGCAAATGAAAATAATAGAATTCTAAATTTGCTACTAATTTTTCATGATCTCCTTTTTGTTTGTTTTTGAATACCCTGTATCAGTTCAAAAAATTGAATACCCCACCTGTACTGCGTTTGTAGAAAACAGTATCCCGTTTATACCAAACTCCAAAAAGAGTTGCCCTGATGAGCCTCAAGTCAACTTTGTCGGAATTTATTTTAAACTTTTTTATCTCAAGCGAGACCAAATTTAAAAACTATTGTTATGCATGTTAAATTGTTGCGTCAATATTGTTTTCTGATATTATTGTAGAACATCGCCTGTCAAAGTTCATTCATTCGGAGTATTTTCTTATCCAAGTAAAATGTACTTATGCAAGAAATAAGTCCACCCACGAATGCTTAATCATTTCGCTGTTGTAAATAGTTGCAACCGAGCAAATGTGGTTAACATGATTACGATTAGGTCAAAATGAATTAATAAAATGAATTAGTTCCAGTATCATACACCAGCAGTGATCCACAGCAGATCTATGAAGATTCTATATTTAGATTTCGATATCGTAAATAATCTGACAATTATCATTTAGATTTCCATTCATTTGTGATTCTTTTTAATTGGATATCATTAATATTTAACTCCATTGGTCATTTTAATCCACTTTGATAGGAACATAATCTTAGCTGAATTTTCCATTATTGTGCATGGATTAAACTGTTTATTGTAAAATATACAATGAAGGGAAACATCAGATTTCGATCTAATTGAAAATGAAAGAGGAAGTTAAATTGGCAATTCGTTAAAGTCATTGATGTATCAGATCAGGCTGTAAAATGTGCAGTTGTTTATTCAAAGTGCTTGAAATTTCCAAAATATGTTCAACGAGAGTCAATAACTCAGAAAAACATAATTGGTAATTTCATCAATTTTTGCAACAAACCATTTAGTTTGCAAATTTCAAGCTTTTTCAAATGAGGTAACATTTTGCAAGATACTAAACCACATTTTTATCTTGCTTTGGTTCCCTTCTTCTTTTAACATGTCTCCTTTTCCTTCGTGTAATGCAAGAGTCAGTATGAGCTCCGGTCCACCCAAATTAGGTTTTTTCTAACACGGACAGACTACAAAATGCCAATACGTAAAGGCGATCTTACATTCCCATAATTCTCACATTTCCCCATTGTGTAATCTTGATTTCTCTTTTTTGAGCAATTGCCATCATTTCCTATCTTAAGTTATTTTCGATCCATACCTTGAAATTATTTTACGTTTAATTTTATTCGTTATTTGACCATTAATGTCTTTGCTATACGAAACGTCAATTTTTATTAGTTCATATTTATAAGTTACTCATCAATAAGTATGATTTGCTATCAATAATAAACACGAAGATGTATTCTGGTTAGATTACGCCTAGTGAAATGTGAAATAGTATATTTATCAACCAACGATTGTCATAGTATTTAATAGTTATAGTAAGTTATGGGCATGTCGTGTATTTTTCGTCGATTGTTTTGTAGTTTTCTGCCGTGCGTGAAGTGCATGTTTTTAGATTATTAACGATGGGTCTTATACTTGTTTTTTTTTTCTTGTTTAATTCTAGGAATATTCTCCCATTGGGACAGATTCTATTGTGTTAGCAATGTTAACAATGTTAATAGCTCTCCCCCCCTTCTCCCACTCTTTTACGAGAAAAAATGATGATAGCTTTGGCAATTACCGTAACCTAGCCTCATACGTCACTTTGTAGTCAACGATGTAAGCTTAAGAGGGAAGAGGTTCTTGAATTTGACAATGTAGACCGAAGGACAAATCGCTCCATGAAATCCTATTGAATAATCTAAAATTTCCTGGAAACGCTGTGTTCGATACGCTATCTACTAGATTGAACTGTTCCTCGGTGTAAACCAACTTCAGTAGTGCAAAAGAATTTCTACAGCGAAGAAGACTACACAGAACAACTGCAATATAAAGTTGATTTAATATGTTTGGGTTATGAGGAAAAACCCTTGGTTAACGAGTTGTCTCTCACACCGCAACGCTAATTTACACAGGCAGTTTCGACGGCGAGTTCAGTAGCCTGAAATGTTTACAGTAAAACCTCTGTATGGCGGACATGCGCAAGACGCGATGAAGTGTCTATTATCTGAAGGTTACTTGTTCGGCAGAAAACACATTTTTGGAAATATTTATTTCTCCATTGTCTCTGTTTTTAAAAAGAGTCTGTCGCTGGAAACATGTTATGCGGCTGTCTTTGGGTATGGGCTCTTGAAAATGTGGCGCTTCTTGTTTAAGTGGCAGACCAATTCAATATTTTCACTATCGTCAACGAATTACGAATCATAATAAAAACGCAAGTTTGAAGTTGTAGTTTTGATATGCTTTTGGTCTCAAGGTGTGAGTTCAAACAGCTCTTTCACTTTCCACAAATCTTATTTTTTAATTTTTCTAATGAATGGTTGTTATCTCAAAATTATGCACGTTATGGGAGTAGGTCTCGTATAACGAGATCACATATAACACATGGTTTTATTTCGCTTTATTTTCGGAGTTCTCGATAAATTTGTTTGATAGCAAACTCATGGTCAGATATATTTTACTAGATACAGGTCAAGTTATATAATTGAAAAGCCCCCCATTCAGCAGATGGGTAGACAGGTGACTTGCGACCATTTCGACGGCCATTAAAAATAATTCCAGTCACTACACGCAGAGCAGGTTTTCTCCTCGTCGGTTCTTTTGGAGAAGAAGTCTTCAGACGGGCTGATCAGTAGGAGAAAAGATGAACACATCTGCACTCTCTAAAGGATTGCACTTAACGTACCTTGAATTTGAAGCTTCTGGTTTATAATATATTATATGGCAGCATTCGTTGGATGAAGATCTTGGTTGGATTCATGTAAATAGTGGAAACGTAATATGGATTTGACGGAATAAATAAATTGCCTTGGCAAGTATGCGAAGTTGCACAAACTAACTGCTTTGGGTTAGTATTTCAATTGGAAATTTAGTTGATTGGAAAATTCAGTGTTCCACTCAACTAAATTCATCTCTGGGAAAGCCAAATCGAGTCTGTGCGCAGGCTACCTTTATTCATGGTTTTTTGCTCCAATTCCTTAATTATTTCTCTGCTTTCATAGTATGGCGAAAAACTGACAAACTTTATGAAGTAATTCAGAAGTAGATTATCAGATTACAACCCATACCGCTACTAAAGTGGCTTCTTTTTGGAGACTCGGTTTTGAGCCATACTGTATAGAGTAGTCAGTAGTGCGTTAAAAGCATACGCGAATTTCGAATTGCGATGTTCTTAGATATTCTTGTTGGTAAAGAAAGCTGTTTGTGTAGAGGGTTATTGTAACAGGTGCATTCACGTCAAAAGGAGTAAAATACAGTGTCGAGTTTCAATCGTTAATGTGTAGCTTAACAAGCCAGGAATAACAAGTAGCAAATAATGAGCAAGAAAGCAGAATTCAAGATGCTGTGCAAAGCAGGGCTTCTCAAGTAAGTAAGAATTCAATTCTACTACCTGTAGTAATTCGACGCAAGTAAATATAGCGCAACGGTAATACCAAGCCTTCAACAGACTAATTTTCATTAAAATTATGGCTTTATATTTTTAAATAAATCTAGCATGGTTCTAAGTATCACTAAAATTGTTTAAGGATTACTAAAACATTACTTGATTCCACGATGTTACGACACGTTTCGAAATATTTAGGATCGGTGTCTCAGTCTAAGTATTTATGCAGAACCCGATAAAATAATAAGTATATTATTAATCTGAGGTTAAATTTTGTTTTGTGATAGAAAAACCAATGTGTAGATTTGATTTTCACCGTGATCCCAATTGTGTATAATTAAAAGCAAAGATTTTTTATACAGTCTGGATTCAGATTCCCTGTAAGCAAAAGCTCTTTACTGCAAAATCGGTGGGACAACAATGAATAAGATGCCGAATTGCTATTTTTTCCAAAGTTTTATGAAATGATAGAATTCTGGTCGGAAATAGCAATCTTTGAAACAAAAGAAATAATTGAGTTTTCAAATTCAATTTTTAATTTCAGGGATTAGTTGAAGCGGGTATAAATATAGCCAAAAGCCTTTAAACGCACTGACTTCAACACCGAATTAAATTGTTTCTCTAAAGCTGCCGAATAATCATGATTTTTTCAGAAAAAAAAAGTTTTAACTCTCAGTCTTGCATTATTAAAAATACAACATTTATTAATGAAATAAAGTTCTAAAAAAGTATGAATCTTTGTATATGTAAATGAAGTTAATAAGTTTAATGTTCATAAGAGAATTTTTCTACTTTTTAACTTTGTCCAACACCATCTACCTTCTAAGTTACGGATTCCTTTTTTTCAGAAACTATTCTGTCTGTGATATTGCGGCGGTCAAACTACCATTGGATTTCAAGCAAGAAATACGTTGGATTACTCTATGCGCTTAGAGAAAAGATTGATTTTCATGCATTAACAAGGAAAAACATTCTTTAACAAGAATTGTCTTTGTTTTGATTCATTTATTCCATCGGAAAAGTGGTTTATGCAAGCAAGACGCTGCTTAACCCAAAGATGTAAACATAATAATAATTGTTATACGAAGCGTTAAAGCTCCTATTCTCTCGCCTCTGCAGTCACTGTTGGAGTATTCTAATCCGAATATCCTTTTATTTCCTTGCCATAAGTCAAAAGACATCAGCTGCGTTCACGTTTGTGAGCCTACCAACAATGTGAGTTCGTTTATTGAGCAAAATGACTGTGAGACAGGCACTTATTTCACTCGTTCTTGTTTATTCGCTGGTCGAACATTCCATTTGCCAACGAGGTGAGTTCCTTTAGCTGCCTAATTTATATGTTCATCACCATTTCACGATGCGATTAGCGACCCGTGATTTTCTATTCTTAATTTTACAATTATTGCTTTTCAATAACACTAGACGAACCCAAGGAAAGCATTATTTCTCGAAAATCTCTCGACGTTATATTTTACAGGTAATTTATGAGAGACATTTCTTTTTGCTATCGACATAAGCAATGCAGTTCCCAGCTTTTTCTTCAACAAACTTGGCATAAAGCTTCCAGCAAATGTCTCGTGTTATCACCTGGTAAACCCTTTGTAACGTTCACAATTAAGGTATTATCATCGATGCATAACAAAGGTTATACAGGCAGGAGATTTCCCCTTAACTTTTAATAATTTTTATAAATATTTATTTTTCGATACGGTTGAATTCGTTCAAAAGTTGTGATCAAAAGACATTTTGTTGGACCACACCACAGTGCTGCGTACGGAGTGTCTACATTCGAAAATACAAAAGTTTTGAATAATAGAAAAGAAAATAAGTTGCTCATTAAGAAATATAACGCACAAGTTTATATAGAAATATAAATTAACATTATATATCTAATACAATTTTATTGACTATTGAAGATAGCAAAGTTCCAAAGATAACCATAACCAATTAACAAGTAAATAAAGCCTTGCTGAATTGAAATATGTCGAAAAATAATTGAAGCTTTGTGCACTTTATAATGACCACGGGTTTGTCTAGCTAGCTTTTTCAAAACGTTTTGAAAACGTCATGCTTTGAAAGACTGTTTTGCATTAAGCCCAGTTTTCGTGAAATTGCCTGTGCATATATAGCTATAAGTCTACATAGCTGACAATATGCTGAGATTTTAGCCAACGCAAATGTTTATGTCTCAAGCTGAATAATTGATAGGATGAAAATGATCGAATCAAAGGTATTCTGTGTGCCTATGTGTTTGAAATCTTTCGGCTGAGAATTTCCTTGATAATATTTTAAATTTCTTGATTTTCTTGATAATGATGTAGATAAACAATTATTCTGTTGCTTTTAATATATAAAATTTTCAAGCTTCAAGTATTTGATTTCTCGTAAAAACAGCAACACTGCATTCAATTTTGTCATTTGAATAAGACATATATCGTAACGTTCTCTGTTTTCAAAATAACATAGAAAAAATAGCGTTTACTGTTTTACTGATAAAAAATTTTAAAGCAAAGAAAACTAAAGCATAGAAAAATAAAAAGAATATTTGAATAATATTGGCATGCCCAAATCGAACTTTGGTACTAAAATATGGCTCATCCAGTGAGTTTGTACACCCTGTGCAAAATGTGCCAAACAGGAAGAGAATTGTATCTTGTTACTGTTCCATAATTTACACGATCACTTTACCTCACTATTCTAGAAAAAATAGTGATAGGATTCCTTGAAATTCTCTTTTTTTGTTTGGGTAAAAAAGAAATGCAACAGCGGAAACTTTTTACGCATCTTTCCAAATAATTAACTTAACAAATAGCGCCAAAAAAGAAAAATCCAATGTTGGCTTACGTCGATGGCTCAACATCACTGATACGGAGTATAAATTTTTTCAATGTGATGCCAATTTTTTATCAAAATTTTCAGAGCTAGGAACAAAGATGATAATAATAGACATAAAATTGCTTTTACTCAACTCCTTGCAAAACGCCTCCTTCAACTCTCTGACAATCCTGCCATTGTAAAAAGTACCTTTCCTATAAGAATATTCTTTATAAGAATATTCAGGCCCAGAATTATCCAATTTTTAATTATCGCATATTTGTGTCTCATTTTTTAGCAGTTACCAGTTTTGCAAGATACATAAGAGGAAATCGCAGAACTGACATATCTCATTTTTCAAAAGCGTGGTTTTTATTCAGGAGCGGGCGATATCTCCCAAAGCCAAATCAGATTTGCAAAGAACAAAAATGTCTTGAGAATATCGAGGCTGTAAAATATTATGGTATTCTTATAAAATAGAGTGTATTCAAAAAATGGAATCACTTTTTCTTTCCATCTGCCTTCATGGCTGCCTTGAGAAGTTCTAATTTTGCTTAAGTACAGCTACCCCCATTCATAATCCGATTTCGCATATCACTCCGCAAGATCGAAAGAGTTTGTGAACATTGAACATAATATTGATTGCAATGCAGTATAGAACCTCATTGACCATATGGCAAAGACTATCAGTGCTTTTCTAATCGTACATTCAAATTCATTTGATGTTATTGGCTTTGATTAAGAATCATAAACCAGTTTAATCGTTGCTAAACGCCAATGGGATTAATCAATAAATCCATTAGAAATTATTTGAAATTATTCAGCATGATGCTTAAGCTTGTTTTCTGCCGCGTCTCTTTCTTCTCGAAAATAGAAAAGAGTCCTAGTAAGAGATGTGTTTTGTAAGAAAGAAACGGTTTGTAATGTGATCATGCTACTTTCACACCCTTTCCTATTCTTGGCCAAATTTCGCGTAGAGTAATCCAACTTGCAAGTATTTGAAGACCAGCTTTCAATATGAACATTTTGCCCCAAATATACTAAAGAAAAAGTTTGTAATGTGATCATGCTACTTTCAGACTCTTTCCTCTTCTTGGCCAAATTTCGCGTAGAGTAATCCAACTTGCAAGTATTTGAGGACCAGCTTTCAATATGAACATTTTGCCCCAAATATACTAGAGAAAAAGTTTGTAATGTGATCATGCTACTTTCAGACTCTTTCCTCTTCTTGGCCAAATTTCGCGTAGAGTAATCCAACTTGCAAGTATTTGAGGACCAGCTTTCAATATGAACATTTTGCCCCAAATATACTAAAGAAAAAGTTTTTAATGTGATCATGCTACTTTCAAGCTCTTTCCTCTTCTTGGCCAAATTTCGCGTAGAGTAATCCAACTTCCAAGTATTTGAGGACCAGCTTTCAATATGAACATTTTGCCCCAAATATACTAAAGAAAAAGTTTGTAATGTGATTATGCTACTTTCAAGCTCTTTCCTCTTCTTGGCCAAATTTCGCGTAGAGTAATCCAACTTCCAAGTATTTGTGCACCATCTTTCAATATGAACATTCTGCCCCAAATATACTTTTCCTTCTTCTTCTTCTTCTTCTTCTACTTCTTCTTCTTCTTCTTCTTCTACTACTTCTTCTTCTTTTTCTTTTTCGTCTGCTTCTTCTTCTTCTGTTTAGAGTTCTTCTTCTTCTATAAATATCGTTCTATATAGTGGCATAAAGGAAACTTAAAATTTGGTTGCCCAATCTTATGTTTGAAATTGTGTGTAATGATAACTAGATTATAGCATGTTTTTGTTAATGGTTAAGAAAAACTGATAACAGCATAAAAATTGGTATCTTTGTATTGATATGACACACTCAAAATTGGTATTGATATGACACACTCAAAATTGGTATTGATATGACACACTCAAAATTGGTATTGATATGACACACTCAAAATTGGTATTGATATGACACACTCAAAATTGGTATTGATATGACACACTCAAAATTGGTATTGATATGACACACTCAAAATGGTAGTGAGCACATTACAGATTAGGGGGGCTAAACATGCTAAAAAACCAAGAGCAGGGCCATTTTTGGTATGATTTGAGCACATTTTGGAAATTATTGGAGGGGCTAAAGCCTCGTAGCCCCCCCCTCCCCTGCTTCCGCGGTCACTGGCGGAAATATCCCACTTGTAATGACATTAGACCTTAAAATACCAATTCACTGTCTTCTGACGAGGACATGTTAAAACTTTGTTTAATATGTCCTATATAATTTCTATCGATAATCAGTATTGGCCTTTTCATGATACTGTTACTTAGCTTTGATTTATTTAGTATTTTACTGACGCATCTGCCTTATTCAATCTCAACTTTCTGAATTGTTAAGGAAATAAAATCCTTTTTGGAACAAGACTCAACTTTTCCGCATTGCATTACAACTTAGCTACCATATCCTCCACCCTTGTTGAGCTTTCCTGCTTTATTCAATTCGATTTGGTTTTTTCAGTCTTTGAAAGGAATTAAATCTAAGACCTTTGTTAACTGACGTGGCTCAATAACAATTAATTTCACGAGATTAAAAAAGACTCATAGCATTTCCGCTCACTGAGTCAAAAGGTGAAAAAGTTAAGAAAGGTAATATGCGAATTTATTATTTATTGACGCGACGATCTTTCCTGGCCATTTTGTGTTATCTCCACACCCAGCTATCATATTTTGATTTGATTCTAAATCTGCCATATTATTTGTAAGTTTGCATTTGCTTTCTGCTATTAAATTGGTTTAGCTGCATCTGGAGATATTTTACGAAATTTTACGTTATTTCTTAAAAATATGTTTGCAGTTAACCTTTCCGAAGAGGGAAAACCAGCGCCTCCGTTAACACAAAAACCAAATTCTGGCAATAGCAGCTCTACACTCAACCAAGATGGAGCATCTCCACCGAAAGAGGCTGAACAGGAAGACGAGGCTCTTGATTACTACAGGGTCATTCCGGCCAGCGGCACCATCTTGATATTCCTTGGAGGTAGCCTCTCCATATTCATTTACGAGAGAAACAAAGAATTAGCGAAAAAGCGCAAAGAGTAAGGATTGAACGTACTTTTTATGTCTTGGAATTTTTTGATAATGTTTTTTGTTGTTGAGATATACGCCTGCTTTGGTCACGTGAAGCATATAGAAGAATAATAAGCTAGCACCAATGATCACGTGTAACAATCACATGAAAATCAAATACCTCCAATGATAGCTACTGTTGTTAATTGACTGTTTATTCTATATTTCTTGATAGAATTTTGTAAAAGGGCTATTACAAATTAAAAGAGGCATTGTTTCTCAAGGCTGGCCCCTATTACCTTTCCCCAACATTTTCATAGTTCTATATTTGCTAACCTTGCAGATTTTGTTTACTTTGTTCCTTTCCCCATACAATATATGATCGGTCTTTCTTACTCATACAATGTATAGATTTAGAGGCCCCTTTGTCCTCTTTAACCCTGCTCACTTTCCTTTAAGGAGCGATGATATTGACGAATCTGAAGACGACGAAATGAGTGCAGCTTGGCTGTCGACGGTTGCGAAGAGAAATCGTCGTAAAAACAATGTTTTTGATAAAGTTAGAAGAATGTCAATTGCGTGAGTACATTTTGATGACATAGAGGTTATTCGAGAGCTATGCCTTGAAAGATGAACAGCTTTCGTTCTAAATACCCCGTCCTTCTTACCCGTCCTAGCCCCAGAGATGCTCTGTTGTGTCTTGCAGCAAAGCCTTTCAAGTATTATTCCAGCTTTTTTCAGTATTTTCCCAGTTCTTTCCAGCATTTCTCCACTATAGGCATTTCTTTTCGGAATCATAAGAAAGGAAGTTAACAACTTTGTTGGTTTGCCCCTTGAATGAACGTTCACCCTCATTAAAAATAAGTAGTTTAATTCTTCAAAGAAAAAGGTTTCGTAGGGATTACATTTCCCTGCTAATACACGTTTACACATCACCTATTAAAATATGCTAGTTTTATTGGACAAATTAACTTTCATGCTTTGTAAGGTCGTTTACCATGAACTGATCACGATCGAACCACGAACAAGAGATGTTTCAAGAAAATTTTTTATAGCCACAAAGTAAACCTTGAAAGAATATTCTAGCTTCTGCCGATTCTGCATAAAACGAAAAGCGCTCCTTCTTTTGTTTTTTTGTGGTTTTTTTAAGATCATCACCCTTTCCTTGCAATTATTTTTTTCCTCCTCTTATTCCGCTATTAATTTCTTTCTTCTGAGACCCCACCATATTTACTTCTGCAGTACTTAGAATCTATGTCTGCTAATACTTTGACTTAGCTTAGATTTGCCAAATCGTAATGACATTTATTTTAATCATACTGTAATACCTATCATTTTGAGGCAAATCTTCATTAGAAAATTTCAGTTTAAGAGCATGGTTTTCTTCCTCCAGGATAAAATCTCAAGAGCCACATCGAGATTTGGAAAAAGAGAGAAAGTACAAAATATATGATGAAATGCTTGAGAAATACCGTGAAACGTTGCGAGTGTTGAGACGCGGAGCAAAGTAAGATACTTTCCAAAATAGCAGTTTAATAAGAGTTTCTTTCTGAGATTAACTGTTTTGTCCAGACACGATGGTACGAATAAAAGGAGAACAAAAGTCTTTAGGTCTTTCCTTTTTCTCTCCATTTGAAAATGTTTGTCGTTCTTTTCTTGCTTGTTTGTTTGTGCATAAGGAAAATCCGTGGGGAAAATCACTCTGAGAAAATCTCGTACACCTTTTGTGAAAATCCTCTTATGTTATCTGAAATCCCCAGAAATCCTTTTGTTTTCGGCAAAATCTCGTACGCTATTTGCAAGAGTGAATCGCCCCTCAGGAAAATCATCGCGGGTGGATAAAGTTTTCGATACTTTTTTTCTCTTGCTGCATATAAATTTTTGTGTGTGTGGCTAGAAAAAACAGAGTTAAAGAAAAGAGAATAAAAGAGAGCACAAGAAGTACACTTGGCTTTCAAATGAAGTGTTAATTTTGAAATGCTCACTTTTTGTTTATTTTTAGGCCTGCATTAGCTACTGATGAGCGACCCGCTGCAAGACTTCGAAGACTGGCTGAGCTACATAAGCAACGAACAACGGATACACAAATGAGGTGCTAAATTATAATATTCCACAATGATTCTCAACCTGACTACGAATTAACCAGCTCTCAGTTTAATTCTTCTAAACTGCACCATTTTATGAGAATCAACCATATTGTTCATCGGGCAAGACTTGTTTGTCGCTCCTTAGCATTCATGGCTAACGATAAGTTGAAAGCAATATCACGTCGATGGAGCGGTAATAAAGCCATTTACAAAGGACTAGCATTCTTTTTAACAAGCAACTTGTGCAAGGTTATTATTAATTCATTTATACAACTTTGTTTCTGTAGAAAAACTTATTGATCGTAGAAACTACATGAAAAATGCTTTGGAGCTCAATCGTTGAATATGTTTTTCAATAGTTTAAAAAACACCCTCTATGTATACCAGAAACATAGCCAGCGGATGGCAAAGGGGTGTAACGGGAACAGACAATACAGGATTATCCTTGAAAACCCTTGTAATCATTTTCGGTTAAATTTCTTTAGTGAAGACAGAATGGAAGGAAGCTCAAAGGATGATTCCTCTGTCACTCAAGGAGATCAATATACATTAACACTTCAAATCCTGCAAAATGAATATCTCGAAGAAGCAATTGAGGTGGAGGATCAAATTCAAGACATAGCGGAAATTGAAGATGGAGATGAAAAGGAAGATGAGTCAGAAATTGACCCTACGTAAGTCTACTTCAATCACGGCTCTTGTTCAAAAATTAGATAAGTTATTTTTGATGATGTTTAGTTAGGCTGATTTTCATTACAGTGATCGGAGTGTATGAACGGAGCAAAAAATCAAGATGCTTCGGAGTGTAAAATCGGTGTGTAAAATCAAGATATTTCGATGTAAATCAAGAATAATGTGAACGGGACTTGAAGTTTTTAAATTGCTGTGCACTCATTGTCAAATTGTGATTAACAGAAAAAGGATGGTTTGCCCATCAACAATTTTCATGTTGTCTTATGCAAGTAACAGGAGATTGATGATTCATTCATTCCTTTATTTTTGATATCTTTAAATGCAGTTTTGCTTACCAATGTTACATCCAACTTCTCTAGTGACCAGAGATGTCTTTTACATTTCCACAAATGTGTTTAACCAATGATTTACATCTTTCATTAACCTTAGAGTATTGTACAAACTTATTTCTTATCACCTTATTGCTTTGTAGACTGCTAACTAGAAGAAGACGTAGCTCAAGATTCAGAAAACAAGCAATAATTGAAGAAGATAGTCAATTTGAGCGACCATCAATTCTCAAGAAAACTGCTATGTATCAGAGTTACATGGCATCCCAAGACGATATGCTGAATGTCGATGAACAGCAAGAAACAGAAGAAAAAGAAGATGATGCAGAGCTTATCAAAGTCCTGGAAAGCAGTTCCCAGTCAGAGATATCTGCATTGCACAGGATTCAGCAACGGTTGCGACCCAAGTCTTTCATAGAAAATCTCGCAGCTATACACAGGGAGACAATGGGTATTCCGAGTCCCCGTGCATCTTCCATGACTGCTCTTGCTCATCTTGGTGCAACGGGTGGTTCAAATATCCGATTAGACTTTTTAAAGGACGAAGCAAAAATTAAGAACACACTGAAAAAATCGCCGGCAGAATCAAAGAGTCCGAAGCTAAGAAGAAAACAGAAAGCCAGAAATAGGCCTACCTCATTGTACGAAACAAGCGTGGTTAGACGAAAATTATCACAGGGTAAGAAATCACGTACCCGACCGGCATCTTTGTACGTGCAGCATCGAATACAAGAGGCTATACCGGAAGCAATTACATCACCGGGCGAGGTTGAGATCTCAGGTATGCCACTGCAGAAAAGTGCATCTTTAGGAGAAAAGATAATTGGATCTCTGCATGACATTCGCTTCTCAAAGTTGACTGCTGATGAGGAAGACACGGTCATAGCGCAGATTGAAAAGAGCCTTATAGCTCAAGTTTGTGACGAGAACGAGTAAGATTGCTTTTTTCATTTTCGCATTTTATTGAATCGTCGGCTTGACAGATAAGTCATACTTGCTGACAAATGTTTTTGGAAGAACTTATTTTATCATGTCCTATCAAATTCATAAGCTGCAATTTTATCAATTTCGTGATTTTATTCGAAATATTTTTTCCAAATTTGATACACTTATCTTCCCAGTAAGAGCGACTCAAACTAAAAATCTTAAACACATCATGCGTTTCTGACAGTAAATTGACTTGTTTTAAAACTTGGTCTGGAAGACAATTACATGGTCTAGAGCTGTATCAATTGAAATCTTAAATAAAAATCTTGTTTGCGTAGTTTTTGCTGACAGAATCGTTGTTCAACAGACATTATTGCTTTTTAGCTTGTCGACAGACGAAATTAAGGCCCTGGAGTCTCTTCTTGAGGATGTGGTTACATATTCGTAAGTATTGTATATGCCCGTAATAATTGACTTTTCATTCCTTCACTAAGCTAGAATTTGTAACCAATGTACTTGTACTTGTCTGTTTTAAAACCAAGCTAAAAGCTTAAAAATACTAAAAAAATTATTCTTAAGAATGCAATAAGAGACATGTTGGTACATTTTGTTTATGCTCAGAGAAATTTACAAAACACTGCTTCAAATATAGTACTATAACGATACCAAAGGGAAGGAGGGGACATCTTCATAACAACCCTGTGGCCATTCACAATTATCTCAAGTTCTGTTCCAAAAATGATGCAAGGTGAAACACCTAGGGAGGGTAAATATACACCAGGCGAGACACCCAGAAGGTTTGCATGTTTATATACACCCAACTAGTTTTTTAAAACAGGCTTTGATTACGGAAACTACAGAAAGAAAGAAAAGAAACAAGAAAGAAACTGTCTGCTAGTAGCGAGGGTAGCGGCGATTTACCGAAATTTTTGCGATGCATGAATGTATCTCAGAGTTGAATTGATTATTTCTCTATTAACAGCAATTGGTAGCCTTTCATCGCCATACAAAAAACATTAAGTAGAGTTTCATTTCAAAACTTTGACGGGCCATGTTGATGTTATAATGCATTGACACTGTTGAGAAGATCATGTCTATGAGCATAATATAAGTGGCAAGAAAGCAAATAATGCTTCGTATCCTCAACGCCATCATTTATAGGGCACATTGGATCAATTGTATCTTTGATGATATCAAGATAAGATAAGGAACTAAGACAGTCTAACTAAAACCTCTCGATTTTTCTCCCTTTTTGCATTCCGATTTTTGGTGGAACGAGCTCTCCGAAACAAGACCACCTTTGACAAGAGCAAGCCTTGCCGAGGCGAATGATCATTTCTATCATGGTTTAGTAAGGTTTCCAGCCCCTTTTTTGGCCCGTACGGATCCGAAACCAAAGTGGTACAAAAAGGCTTTGCGTTTACACGGGATCCCAGTTTGATCTGCTATCCGTACCCGCTTGGGATCGCTTCTGAAGGTGGACCCGTTTAGATCCGATCCCTAAAAGGTCTCGTGTAAACGGTTGGGATCGGATCCAAACAGGTACAAACAAGGCGGAAGATGTCCATTCCGAGGTTCTTCGTAAGAATTTATTGTCTCGAATCTTTTGACTTGGCTCCATACGGATCCGATCCCGTGAAACTGCAAATATTTTCAGATCCGAACCCGTGTGAACACCCCCTCAAAAATGATACTTCTTGGGTCCGATCCCGTGTAAACAGGGCCTTAGTTAGACTATCTTAGTTCTTTATTTTATCTTGATGATATGTGATGATATGATAATATTGGATGGTATGCTGGTACTTACGCAACTTGAAACCATAAAGTTGAAATCAGTCTACATAAGACATTTTCTCTGGTTCCGCTGAGTTTTCAGCTGTGTGGAAAGCTGGTTATTATCTTCAAAACAAACCTGAAATCATTTTTTGTATTGATAGTATTTATCGTTATAATACTGCTAGAATTTTAAGACTTGTCCAAAAAGCACTGTGCATATCTTCTTAGCGATTGAATGTGCTTTCTTTTTCATACTTATGGAAATAACACAACATTTTCTTTTATAGGAAAGAAGGATCAACTGAAGCTAAGCCAAAAGTTTCGAAGCAATATAGCTTGTAAGTGAAACTAAAATGTTTTTTAAGATTTATACAAGTTTATAGCCGGTATACGAAGACATCGAACCGTATTGGATGATATTTGTAGGACAGAATAGGATTTTGACAATCTTGCATAAGATGGGAATATCTCGAATGTATTAATATTGAAAATCTTAAATTGAGGGTTTATAATAAAGCAATTTACCAATCCCTAGAAACTCTCAATAAATTATTACATTTTCCGACATAGACATTTATTTATGATAAAGACATTGTGACATATATTCTTAACGCATCTTACTTCCTTTCAAAGAGATGTACAGGTATTCTTCTTTCTTAAGATAAATTTGCAATATCCCTAACAATGTTCAAGAGTGAAGAATGACTTTCGCTGACAGCCGGGTACGAAAACCTCCTTTTCAGAACATGAATATACTTAGAGTTGTGCAAATCTGTGCGAATTTTAGCATTGATGCGGCTTTTTCGGTGGAAGGCCCTGTACAGTTTTGGAAACAATTTTTGAGCTACGATTTTTGTATTCAAATTTTTATTTAGCCCTCTTGAATTCTGAAAAATTGGATTTATAAGTTTGACACTGAAGTTTTTTAAATTGGGATTTTATGTTGCCTTGTAAGATAAATTTTCAGTAATATCTATTTTTGCACCATAGTACTGACTCTGTATCATTGCTTGGTGATATGGAGGATCGAGAGACGGAAGAGGCAGATGAGAATGAGGAGAACGTCTTGATGTCATTAAAAGGTATGGATTATTCATGAATTCTAAGATTGGTTGCTTGTAAATTATCGTTTCGTGAATTTCAACTTTGCTTAAATTAAGCAACATATATGAACGTAACTTGCTATACACCTATAAAGCAGGCAGCCAACCATAATGAAACAGTTCTTTGTTACTACAGAATTAAGTAAAATTATCAATGCAAGAATTATCTCCATTTATTGCCTTTACAATTTTCAAACGGGTGCAAGTTTTTTTACAAATTTACATACCACTGGAGAAATGGCATTAAGAAGAATTGAAGAAAAGAAGAAATGGCTTTAGGAAATTCCTAGAATGAATAAATCTTTGCTGATGGTCTGAATCTTTGCTGAGTTTCGTGTTTATCAGAAATTAACTGATTTGTTTACAATGCCTCATATGTGATTTTTAATTTGATTTTCATTTGTTGTTCATTTTCTCCTTTTTAGTGTTAAATATTTTTGTTTACAAGCAGTGTGGTAAATTGAACCACGCTAAACAAACCGTAGAACAAATTTAAATCCCTAGAAAACCCAAATTTAAATACCACAAAAGCAGTGAAGAAGAAATCATGGCAAATAGCAATTTAATTTTAGTTTGAGTTCATTCCACCTCTAGTAACAATTTATATCAAGAGTTAAAATCTTTCCAAGCTTCTTCAGGAAAAGATTTTTTTCTTATAAGCAATATCAAACTTGTGCGTGGTCAAATGATGTTTTATTTCTCGATTTTAGACCCAACGCCATCGTCATCAACAAAAAGACTTTCGTATTCTGCCTATGACAATGCGTGAAGTATCCCATGACTGGCGGAAACAGGTAGCCAGAAAATGATTACACTGCTAGTTGCCAGACAACTAGCTCTTGAATTACCTGCTCTACTGTGGTATTTTGATGCTGTGTGTGTTCAACAGTGCCATGAAATCTTCCTGGCACTTTGATTTTCTTCTCAAATATTTAGAAAAAAATTCATTCCAGTTAAAAAAATTCATGAAACTTGAACTTTAGTTAAAATAGAATCTATTAGAATAGTTGCTAATGTAAGAAACTCAACGATTATAACTTGAGATTGACAAACTGCTAGCAGCTTTTACGCAAAAGTAGCCCTTTTACAACTTGTTCTGGTAAGGAGGGAAAATGCTTCGAAAAATTAATTTAATAAAGATTGCAATGGCAGATAGCAGAAACGTAGGACATTCATTATATACCACCACTATACCAGTTGTACCATTGTCCCATCACATGTACCATTTCAACGGTAGGCAACCTTTATTTGGTATTGTTATTTCTGCATTGCTGTCTTTTGCCCGTTTTATTAGGCTACTTGAGGCATATCGCATTGTTTTTTTACTCAGGTAGGAGTTTGGTTTTTTCGACAGAGGCGAATCTTAATTTTGACATTGTGTACTGGAAGTTTTTCTCTTTGTAGGATAGTTTTCAATTGATTTTGTCAGTCTAAAAATACTTAGTCTGCCACAGGAAGCTAAAGGTTACATTTTAATAGCAGAAACGTGTCCAACTTTCCACACGAGCTATACGGCCATTCAAAGGCTGTACTAAAAGGTATTTAATCATGAACTGACATCTTAAAAGTAGATGAATTTTTATCCGCAAGATTTTCTTTTTTTATGTAGTTTTTATATCTGAGCTAGAATTTTACATATACCCCAAAGGGGAAAAATTTGTATGATATTGTTAGTTTTTCAGACAAGCTTTGCTTTAGATAGAAAATTTGAAAAGTAGTAATTATATTCTTACTTCTTTCAAATTGTATGGTGTGTCTCCACGTGAAAGAGATTGACATTGTGTTTTTGTCTTTTCTATTAAAATTTTGAATGCGATGCAAGGAGATTACAGCTTGGTAAACTTCTTGGTGGCTGAAGACCATAGAAATGGCAAATATAGATAGATGTATACAGATACAACATGCAGAATATATGTATAAGATTTTCTGATGATGGCATTCAGCGTGAGAATCTGAGTTACAACTCAGAGCAGTCCTATTCTAACCACCACAGAATATAGATTCATACTAGCATTTAAAAAAACAACCCCATCGGGATAATATTACGATGTATCCACAGTTGCAAGATATCTTACAAAAACCTTTAAAATATGCATTGAAAGACACCAGATTTGCTTATTGCTGATGTGTACCGAAGGGACATGCTGTCTTATCCTATCCCCCAAATCTTTGGGTTGTGCGTCCTACGTAGCCAGAATAACAATGGACCAGGGACAGTTTGGTTCCGTTTTTGTTAGAGTAAATGGGTATTTTTGTTAATGTGCTGGGAACCTATTGCTGTAGTATTATTGATGGCTTTTATGCATCAGTTGCAAGCGAGAATTTAAAAAGCCTTAGATGGTGGTTCTTGGGATTGCTTTGAAGCAATGCTACCATTCCCTTACTACGGAGAAGATTGTTTGCCATTTTTAAAGAAAGATGGAAGAGGCAATAGTTGATGGATATTAAAGAGGCAGTAGGAAGAACCGTCCTATTCAATAAATCAAAAGCGTATCAAAGAATTAATGTGTATGTCGGAGTTCGTAGATAGAAAAAAGTGCAAGCATAATTGTTTGTTCCTTGCACAATAAGGCATAAGATAGCCAAGATTCGTTTGTCATTAAGGAGCTCTGAAATAGAATTGGAATATATTCGAAGGTATTTCCACAGTTATTGGCCTTAGTAGATTTTGCTTTCGCATGAGTTTCAATGAACCTTGCAAAGTTTCAATTCCCCTATTGACAAGCCGTTACAACTTTACTGTGGCTTTACCTACCGTATTACACCTACCGTTTTTCCCCAGATAAATGACTGGGCGCTTAATTTCTGTGGGCGCTAAATTTCTGTGGGCGCTTATAGAGAGAGAAGGGGTTGCTGCTGGACTGACTTCAAGTAATGGTCTTTTTAACACATTTTATTATTCTGACGTTCTGCACACTTGAGACTAAATGAGGGTTTTGAGACTAATGTAAAATTCAGAGAAAATGAGCAAGAAGCCTCTTTTCAACTTTGATACTATGAAATTATTTCCTTTAATTGAAGACAATGGGATTATTGAACACCAAATGAAGGCGCTCACTACTAGACAATTTTCTTGGCGCTCAATTTTAATATAGGATCAAATTATCTTGTGTTACTAGATAATATGTTGCTTGATTGTGTGTGGCAAAGACGAATTTCAGAAAACATTAGCATTTAAATCGAGAATTAAATGAAATAATTCTTTTAAAATTCCTATCAAGTAAAAAACTGTATTATTTAAAGACAAGATTTCAACACTGTGCTACATATTAAATATTTCTTATTGCACTTATAAACTAGGCTAAATCATTAAGAATGAATTTTAATAAGACATTTGTGATATGCTTTTTAAACCAAGGATATTATGTTCATATAAAAAGATATCTTATTTCTGAGTATGGTTGCATTCTTTCAAAAAGGACTGTTTATACCTTGTTGCTGACTAATATCTTGAAATGAAATTTAGAGTAATAAGCGGGGTATATTTCATTTCAATATCACGATTATCAGTTCGTAACTACCATGAAACATAATATCTATTGCTTAGAAAGAGGTGGTTATAAAGATCAACGAAACACGAGCTTGAACTCTGCGCAGGAGGAGAGGGGTTACATTTACAAATAACGTGAGGCTACGGCAATTATATCAATTGTTTGACGCCAGGGGATATTTACATTTTCAGCTTGACTAGAAGTTCAACATATAATTCTGATGCTTATCATAATGTAAGTGAGCAATACAGAAATATGCAATTGGATATCTTTCTTATTTAGCTAGTCGATCATTTCTGCAGTTACTTTATAAAATTAAATGCCTTTAGACCAAATGGAATCTATAAACAAATAAACAAATGGCACCACCTATAAGATTTTTTAGACTTCTGCACTTGAAAGTCTATAGAACTGATCTCTCTCAGCCAGAAAATTCAGTTCCATTACTCTTCTATACGGGTGCTCTTCTAGACGGATTTTTCTGGTGCTATACGCAAATGCTGGTGCTTAAAATGCTTGCTTCTAAGCCTCTTACAATGGCATGTGGTAGCATCCAAGCTGCTGGACAGAGCCATATTGAAAGCAGATTCACTCTCTTTCAAAACGGTGTCCTCTTTGATCCTCGTATCCGCGAAACGGCTTGCCTTGGTATTCAATGTTCACAGGAGACGAAGAATACTCGTGAATATATTTTTGGTGATAATAAGCGTAGAGCTGTTCAGCCGATTTCATAATCAGCTTTCTTTTTGTTTTATAGCGACGGTTTTGAAACCATATTTTCACCTGCTGCTCAGAAAGTTTAAGTGCCTTGGATAATTCAGCGCGCTCTGGCGCAGAAAGGTACTTTTGGCGATCGAAAATTCTTTCCAGCTCGTAAACCTGGCCTGCTGAAAAGGCCGCGCGGATTCTCTTCCGCTTCTTGGAATCTGGTTGTAATTCACTGTCTGAGTGGTTTGATTCGCTGGGGCTCAACGGCTTCAATCTGCCCAAATCTTGAAGAAATTAATATTCAAATTAATGAATCATACAATCTAGAGAGAAACAAATCACTATTATTAAAAGCCTGGACAACCAGAGCAAAATACTTCAATGGGTGGCAGAAAATGTTTTAAGGAATACGCAGTGCTTGTTTACAACCAACAGATCTAGAAATTTAGCAATGTAAACACGGTAGCAGTTTAAAAGAGATGCTTTGCAGAGGTTACGGTTGCGTTACACCTTTGTATCTTATGACAAGAATACCATCTACATTCTCACAGGTATGAAGTAGAAAAACCGGACGAAAATCAAGTATACTGACAAAAGGCAAATAACTCTTAATACCACGCTAGAGTTAATTACCAAAGTTTTAGCATTTTCTGCAATACTGGTATTTTTGTGAGTATCGCAACGCAGATTTTTGCCAAACCCGAGGTTGTAACATTGAGGTGTGATGTAGAGATGATTGTGAACAGACACGAGGCCATCCTGCGGTATGGGTTTAAACTAACAAGGCACAAACAGTGTAATTCCTACGCTCCGTCGTGGATTCCAAACCAACCTCAGTCAACGGTTTCAGTTTGGAATGCGTGAGAAGTTTTGCAATGTCATTTCAAAGATTGAATGAGACGATTTAGCTGTAAAGGTTAGGGCTGGGCATCGCCTGTCTCTACGGAGCAATAAAATGGGCGAAAGCAAACAATGGATTTGCCATGTTGATCGTGGTCAGTAGAAGATTGAGATGGGATCTTCAAATCAAACTAATGAAAAGCTAGGCATTTCTTGTGCACACAATGAATTATCTCGCTTATCCAAATGTCTCGCAAAGTCGGAAATGTAGCATCATATTGTTTAAAGATAACAAACTTGAGACATGTGAGTACACTTCTTTCGAAGAAGAGTCGTCTAAACATAGAAAGATGAAGAAAAGCAGACTGCTAAGTGTTTGCTTTGTTGTTGCAAGGTAATGCATTCTAAATTTGCTCGCAAAAACATTTTGCCCAGCATATGGACCACAATTACCTAGGCAAATGAGTGTTAACTATTCCTCAAAATGATAGCATTACCCCCATTTATGGGGAACAATCGCATCCTAAAAAGCAAGGAGCAAAACAGGTCCTCACGTGTCAGAAACAATCACATACCCAAAAGTAAGAGGGAAAAACATCCCCATGTACCACATACCAACATATGAAGAACAACCACACCCATTGTTAAATAAATTGGGCAAACACAACCAAGTATAATTCCTATAAGGCGATCTCTATGCTGATTTTATTAAAGTCCAATTATTTCCAATAATTTTTCTAAAAAATGTCAACACGTGCGGGTTTCCTAATATTTCTTCTTACATTTTTACTAACTGATTTATATTTTAAAAACAACTTTCAATAATATTACTGGTGGCCTTACTTGGGAAAGCAGAATTTAATTACTAAAGAGAGCTGGAAGATAAGCGCCGTCTAGTGAACCTCCGTTAGCCATGCTATTATTCATGCTACGATTTCTCTTTGCAGATTATTTATGTTACACACTTTAATATTATTTACAAATTGAATTTATTTGCAATATTGTTTTCATTCGTGATATGTATTTGAAGAGTATTGCAACTCATATGTCTGAACCATTACCAACGCCACAAAGTTGAAATTTGATAAATACATTAATAAATATGACCTTTTGGATTTCTCTTAAGAAAACCCTTAATCCGCGAATGGCCAATATTTAGCATGGAATCTGAAACAGATACGGCCTAAGACCTTACTCCAATTAATAAAAATTATTTATAGATTGGATGATTCTTTCGAGCAGCCGTATTGCAATCTTTTGTAAGTGGCATCACAATGGCATTATGGCGCTTAAAGGCGTTTGTCCTGGCATTCAAGCAGTGACCGCCAGCTAGAAGTGCTCAAAGGAAACGAGAATCCTTCAATAAACAAACGAAGGACCATCCATCGGCTTCGTTAATCGCAAAATGAGAAGTCGTTATTGTGATTGCGATTACGCTTTTAGATTACGACAAATGGCTTTGCAAAAAGGAAGCAAACTTAATCTCAACGTCCACTCAATCCCTCGATATGGTTTCTTTCGTAAAAGGCTGGCCATTTTAGACCAAAATAATCGTCACTACAAACAAAATGGACACAAAAAATTCTCAAGCTTTGTGTAATGAAGGTGAATGTCCTAGTCGAAAAGACCAAGCTAGATTAGTTCTTTTAAATGACTGGGCATTTTCGGTATTTTTTCTCTGCAAACCGAGATAAGTATTGCTTTCTAGAAAAATTCAAGTTTTCAAGTAACCTACTGCTGTAAGTTACAATAAAAACAAACACCGAATAGTCACGTGTATTCTTTGATAGAAATAATCGAAGATTTACTGAACTTGTAGAAATTACATCAACTGCGTTTATTAGATAAGCAAGAAGATCGAAAATAGAACATAAAGGGGAAAAATAAAATGTGTCCGTTATGTAGTTTGGAATTATTTGTGTGATTTTGAAGCCATAAAACAGAAGGAGCAAAATGCTGTTTGTAGTTTGTTTGTTTGTAGTTTGTTTCTTAGCGTTTTGGAGCGATTTCATAAAGAGTCAATTTCTTGGAAATTTATTGAGGATTTCGAATTTTTTCAGAACTACCACAACAACGCAAAAATGCTTCATGTTTTGAAAAATTTAAATACAATAGTAATTAAAATAGCTATAGCAGAATAAACAATATATTAATCAGATAACAGCAACTCATCTCGCATGTAACAGCAACAGCAACGAATTCACTACGTATTCTGCCATCAATCGCCTTGGCAGATGTTGCAAAAATTTTGTCCTGGTAGTGTGAATTCGAAACTGTCCGGGTACTCTCGTTAGAGGAACGTAGAAGTTTTTAATTAATTAAACGAGTTGACATTTTCAATTTAAATTTACTCTTTCTGATCTGTCTAGAATTTTTTGAACTGTAACGAGCAACGAAGAACAGTTCTTTTTGGATTAATTCAAATTGATAACTTGAAGACATAATTTTAAAACATTGTTTAACCTATTTTATACTCTGCTAAAGACCAACCAACAATAAGAGAAATACCATAACTAACTCTGGTATTGTTTCAAATAATGAAATCCCACTTGAAGATCTTTTCGCCAAAACAGAAAATATGTTCATCAAAATCTGCAGACAGAATAAATAAGAGTAAGACTGAAAAAGTAAAAATTGAAATGCAGAATCAATTAGATGTCTTTTTTCTTTTAAAAGGAATATCCCACAGTAAGTTTATAAGTTTGCAAAACTTCAACTTCTTGAATGCCACTATGATTTGGGTGGTGCCATACTTTTGTCTCGGTACTGTAGTTGCAAATTTGTTGCTGGAATTTTTTTTACCTACAAATTTTCATGAAGGCATTTTTAATAATTTCCTCCAATTTTTTCTCAAGGCCATTAAAATATATTTGTCCATCAAAAAAATTTCTTTTCGATATGTAAGCAAACTTTGGGAGGGTTTTTGTCAAGATGGTAATGACCAAAACAAAAAGAATTGATAATGAACAATGAAACATTCGAAATTTGCAAAAATTAGTTTAAAAACCATAAGTGTAGAAAGGTATTAGCATTTGGCTTTATCTGCTTTTCCATTAGTCTCTCAAATATCTTAGGCATTGATAGCAAGACTGAAATAGTTCTTTAGTTTTTCTTAACAAGAGCATCGTCTTTCTTAAATATAGGTGATATATCAGCTTCTTTGAGGTTTTCAGGGAAGCTGCTGTTTTCTACGCATGTGTTAAAACTACTATGAAGAAAAGGGGCAAAAATTTCACAATTTTCTTGAAGTATTTTTGAGGGCATGCTATCAATTGGTGAAGCTTTTTTTGGGTTCAGTCTCTTGAGCTGATCGAAAACATCGATGGCATCAACCTCATTAAACTCAAATAGTTCCTGGGGTACCCATTGCTTTTTGATAATTTTAATACTAGGGTGGTTTTTGTATCTGTATACTGATTTATCTATAGGGTCTTCGATGTTTATTGTGGGGGAGAGGTTGGCTTCATTTTCTTTAATTTCTAGCTGATCGGTAATATTTGTAAAGTATTCGTTCAGGATTTGTGCAATTTCTAAGTCGTTATTTTTAAATTCTCCATTTTCCAAAACATTAATCATTGGTAATACTTGTACTTTATCCGTGAGAACCGGTTTGACTGTTTTCCAGAACTTTCTGCAAAGCAACCAACATGGCGAAAATGAACAAATTGAAATCAGTACTGCTAAAACAATAAACGACCGGAATGGGAGAGAGAAATCGAAGAACTTTAGCTATAGCTACTATGTTTTTAGGCCATGTCTATGTATCCCTGTTTCTTATAATTTGCAATCATATGATGTAACGTCGCCTGCATCACAAGGTCATGTCGCATGTTTCAACGGAACCAAGACTGGTTCTTAGGCAACTGCATCCCGGCATGCTGGAGCTCCGAAAAGCGGCCATTCTTGAATCACACATCGAAGGCGGGAATTTCTCTTTCCCATTCCACAAACAATAGAAGCTTTGTTCCAATCCCTCTCGAAAACAATAGACTGAAATAATTTAGCAACTTGCATGATTTATGCATTTAGTTCGGCACAAGGAAAATACGGCGTCTAGATTAGAACCGTACTTATGTCGAATAATACGGCAGACCGTGTCGAACTAAATACTTGCGTCGAAGAAGATTAAAAGAGCTGTACCAAGTTGATTCAGACCCAGTATTAATCATGTTCTAAATTGAGTCATTTAATACGACTCATGAATAATACGCCGTCTGAACTAGACCTAAGTCACCCGACTTTGCTGTTCATCGTTGATTCGTCAATTTGCGTAGGGCTTGTAGCGTAAATGTTTCATATTTTAACAAAAAAAATGGTAACATAGAAAAAGCGCAGAAGTTTCGCAACATTTTAATGCCTTGGTTCATTTTGGAAGAGTATTTCAAAAAACATCAATACTTAATTAAGGGGTCGTTATCGCAATCTTGTTGTAAAATGTTTGCTT